TTGGGACACTAGCAATTCCAGTAGGGCTTTAGGTCACTTAGAGGCTATAATTGATGCAAAGAAAGTAAAAATTTTAGGCGATCACACGTGCACAGCACTGGCTAGAATTCAATGCCAAAACGAACCGACCACAGCGCAGGTGGGAGCGTTGTAGAGGAACTTGTGGAAATTGCGGGCAGGCCTTTCAAATTCAGGATATTTTAAGTTTTGCCCGTAAATCCATTGCTGTTAAATCGAGGTTCAACCTGTATTGCATTACAGTATATGAGAGTGAATGGTGAGAAATTTGAGGTGATAGTAGGGGTGTATCAGGGATCAGTCATGAGCCTCCTCCTGTTTATCATGGTGCTGGAGGCAATATCATGGGACTTCTGAACCGTTCTACCCAGGGAGGTGTTGTATGCTGATAGCAAATAATATTGAAGATGCAGCATAGAAATTGGAAAATGGAAGGAATACTCAAAATGAACGTGGCAAAAACAAAATTGTTGATTAATAGTAAGGATGAGGGACCTGTTGTGGCAACTGGCCATGTGCTGTCTAAAAGAAAGATGTTGGCAGCAACTCACCAATGTGTAGTGAGTTTGGAAAGTGGCTACACAAGGGGAGTTTTGGCATGGATGGCAAACTGCATTGTGTTGCTAGAGAAACTCAACAATAGGGACATGTCCCTGGCCTGTATTAATGAGTTATGCTATCTGGGTGATATGATCACTTCTGGAAGGGATGCTCAAGCCAGTTCAGTTATAAAAGCCAGAAGTGGTTGGAACTTGGGGCAAAGTTAAGGAGTTGTTGCCTTTATTGATCACATGAAGACCTTCCCTCTGTGTGGACGGTGAATGGTGGCAATTGCCTTATGTGCGATTAACGGCAGCAGTACAGTGAAGACTGTGAATGACTCATAAGGACTCGTAAGGTCTCATAAGGTCTCACAAGGACTCGAGGACTCATAAGGACTCGTAAGGTCTCGCAAGGATTTGTAAAGACTCACAAGGACTCACAAAGACACACAAGGACTCACAGTGACTCAAAAGGGCTCATAAGGACTCACAAAGAAGTCACAAGGACTCACATGGACTCACAAGGACTGATAGGGGGTCATAAGGACTCACAAGGACTCATAAGAAGTCATCAGAACTCACAAGGACTAATGAGAAGTCATCAGAACTCATAAGGACTCGTAATAAGAACTCACTCACAAAGACTCAAGGCTCACAAGGACCCATAAAGACTCACAAACGACCCATAAGAACTCCCAAGGACTAATAATGATTCATAACTCATAACTACACAAAAGGACTCGCTAGGACTCATAAGGACTAACAAGGCCTAACATGGACTCATTAAGGACTCGCAAAGATTCATAAGGACTCACAAGGACTTATAAGAACTCACTTGGACTCACAAGGTCTCATAAGGACTTACAAGGACCTACACACTCACAAAGACTCAAATGGCGGCAATTGTCTTATGGGGGATTAACGGCAACAGTATGGCAAAGACAATGAATGGCAACAATCGCCTTATGTGGGATTAACGGCAACAGTGTGGCAAAGACGATGAATGACAACAATCACCTTATGTGGGATTAATGGCAACAGTATGGCAATGACGATGAATGGTATTAAACCTTATTTAATTTACAAAGCTTAGGATTTTATGGAATCTCCAGGTACGAGTGACAACAGTGTCTACCCAACACATGAGTACCGATACTGAACATCCTTTTTACAGCGCCCTAATCTTTGTCGTTTAATCATAAATACAATTATGAATTTTATCCGACTCATAAAATCATCCAGGATCGTATTTACAGTTCCATATACGTACGTCATTACTACACCTACACGTAATACAGATACGCACAAAACCTTAAATTTCTGTAAGCAGAACACGGTGATGGAAAGTGATATTACTGCGTTGGAAATTAAGTTAATACATTTTCTCATTATCCATTACCGTCAAAATCTACTCAATGAATCTTGTAGAAGCACCAAATTCTGGCTAGACAAGCACTGGCACATGTTCAATTAAGTATAGTATTGTATGCCCAATACCTACTGACAGTGTGAAACCCTTAAGTTGCTGGCCCTCTGACTGATTACAAAGTTGACTAATAATGAGGGGATAATACTAAACAAGTAGTTTAACGAATATATGACAATCAAGACCCTGACCTAGAGTAGGATTACACTTGAACATCAGAATGGAGGAAATGACAGCGGGCCTATTGGCCCATAGTGGGCAGTCCCGTTTACACCCGACCCCCATCATTCATATATCCGTCCAACCTATATTTGAAGCTACCCAGGGTGTTCAAGTTAATAATGATATTTGGTAACTTGTTCCACTACTCTATTTCTAACTGTAGTGCACCTTCTCCCATGTGTCAACAAGGAATAAAGCATTACAAGAGCATCATCTTGAGACTCACCGGGCGTGTGCAAGAGGTAAAAACAAGGGATTTATGCAGGTGATCCTGTCGTGTTCACTTCCGGCCTTGTGTTGACAGAGATCACGATGAGTGGACACAAGTAGGGAGGCGGACCAGGATGCAGTACCTCCACCCCATCACCATAACATTTGAGGCAATGATGCACATTCTACGACATCAAATTGTGATTGCACCCATAAAAATGTTGGGAGTTAGAGAGCCGTATTATCTGGCAAAATAACAAAATATTACATAAACATTAAAACAGCCATCAGAGGCCCCCTGCTATTGTGATTTTGAGTACTGTAATTAAAATTTTACTTTCTCCAAGTCTCCTCATCCTAGGCTCTAATAGTGTGATGCTGTGTGTGTCCTGTCAGGGTCAGATGATTTACCAAAAAATATTTAATTGAATCTTAATTTATATAAAATGTTTTACCTGAAATGTATATAAACTGTTGCCCAATTGAATTTATGAGAATTCAACACTATGTACAGTAATAGTAAATAGCAATTCGACAACTACAACAACAAAACTCAGCATAAATAACTTCCTCCGTGAATTAAAAGACTACACAAAGTTAACAGTGAAATCACTTGAAGATTAACCGTCTTAACACTACATTGGGGTTAAGTTATAGAAGGTTAGGTTATGTTTGGTAACACATGATTAGGTTAGCAATAGGGTGGTTAATCTTAGGTGATCTGGCCCTTGAAAGGTTTTGAGTTTGACACCACTGCCTTAGAGCCAGCCAGGTGAGGTGGAGAGGGAGGATGTTTTTGAAGAATCAAAGTGGTGTAAATTTAAACAAAGAGGAGAGACTTACTCATTGTTGGATGTACAGTGTGTACAGATCCTCAAACTTTAGCTTATTCAACCAAAGGAACTTAAGAGCTTTAATTGACAGCACAACAGCGCTCAACCCTAGCCACCTCCTTGTCATAGGAGGTTGCCTCTGAAGATGTCTTGAATAAAAAGACGAAAGCTGAGGTGCTCCATTGTTTCCCTTTTCCCTGTGTGAGTATATATATATATATATATATGGAGCACCTCAGCTTCTTTTTATTCAAGACATTCTTCAGAGGCAACCTCTATGACAAGGAGGTGGCTAGGGTTGAGCGCTGCTGTCAATTAAAGCTCTTAAGTTCCTTTGCTGAATAAGCTAAAGTTTGAGGATCTGTACACACTGTACATCCAACAATGAGTAAGTCTCTCCTCTTTGTTTAAATTTACACCACTTTGATTCTTCAAAAACATCGTCCCTCTCCACCTCACCTGGCTGGCTCTTAAGGCAGTGGTGTCAAACTCAAAACCTTTCAAGGGCCAATTTTTATTTTATGGCCAACACAAGTGCTATATCACATATTTGCTGGATTGAAGTTTATGGCTTCACACATTGCCTTACCTGTATTCTCAGGAATACCTCATTTGGGTTTGTCTGATCTTAAGTACGTAAAATTCATTTTACTAAATAACCATAATCATATCTATTTCTATCATAATTTCACGGGATAATAAATTTTACCATCATCCAGCGGGCCACATCTGACCATCCCAAGGGCCACATTTGGCCCGTGGGCCATGAGTTTGACACCCCTGCTCTAAGATCTTGTTTAGCATAGATAACCACACCCCTCTTACAAGTTGCTTGAAAAAGGTTCAGAAATGTATCACATCTATCTATATTGAACTCCCATACCTCCAGATTTATTCTCCAATTTTTGTACAACAATTCTACAACACCTACTATAGTGGGTGGCTGTATCTTGAGTGGGTTTCAAATTCTGCTCTCGCATCAAGGAACGTGTCAGTATTAGTGTACATACATGACTTTCAAGCCAGAATTAGTCCTAGGTAACGTCTCTGATCTTAGTAGTGACTCCAGCCCCCCTCCATTTTCAGCAACTGCCTCAATTACCAAATTCATTGTACAGTATTTTGTGGAGTGTGGTCAGAGATGACGTTTACATAGCACTCACCTCCTCCTGAGTGGGAGGTAGAGCGAGTGGGGGGGGGGGGGTGTCCCGCTGTTAACACGAAAAATAACATAAAGCAGAGATGTTTGAGGTGAATATGGTGGACATTTTTTTAAACCTTAGTTTCAAAATGTATACCTCTGAAGAAAAAACAAAACATCAGGAATATGTAATCAATTTCCTTAATATTGTACTAGTCACAAGATCCACATAGCAGTTCATATAAAATGTCACATTTGGTAATAACTGTAATTAAGGTGGTACAATAAATAAACCAATAATCTACTACTGCAGTAATACAAATTACCATCAGGTTGCTACTGTGGTACTGTCACGAATTTCATGTTAGGATTCAAAATTACAAAAAGACTACAGTGGTACTTATATGGGTGAAAAATATTATTATTCCTACCAGTTAATACCCACTTGAAAACTGATATGACACCATGATCTATTAAGCAGAAATTGAACTTACATGAAATGATGAAAAATCTTAATAGTGGCCCAAATGCAATTTCAAGTGCCTTAAGTTCAAATACTAAAGGAACTACAATCGCCAGGAAAGGGTATGGAAAATAAAACAAGCAAATGATTTCGATGTTCATTTAAAAGTAGAGCGAGGTTCACAGGTGGGAGGGTAAGAAGGGTGGGTGGGTGCTATATGTAGGTCCTTTGAGTTTCCTACAGGTGACCCATGCAGGCAGACCTTCAATATCACCATTTAAGCCATTTAGGTCATCACCAAGTAATCTGGTGGTGTACAGATGTGTGGGTAACAACTGTCATTATTTCTGCGCCACATGCAGTGAGTCGCGTTACTTTTAGTGTTCATGTACTATACCACAGCACACCATCCATCACTACTATATCTCTGCTTTTGTACTGCAGGATGTTACACTACACCATACTACCACTGAATAATTGTTCCTGATCTTTAGGAGGATACAATACCCATCACCATCACTATATCCTTTTTCTTGTACTGTAGGATGATACAACACCCATTACCATCACCACATAATTTTTCTTGTACTGTAGGATGACAACACCCACCACCATCACTAAATCCTTCTTGCTATACAGTAGGATGACACACCACACCATCCATGTTCTTGTGCTGCAGGATGAAACGGTAAGCCATCCTACCACTATTTCCCTGCTCATGCACTGTAAGATGGCACACCAGCCCACCACCACTACATCCTTGTTCTTGTACTGAACCAACTGTCATGACGTGTGCATAACAGAGGTGAACCCTAGCAAGTACACAACCTGGTGATTACCTCTACTTCATTACAACTTACAAGCTAATACTACAAGTGACCACCAGCAACAAGGGTACCAATGAGGAAGGTGTCCACATTAACACACTAATCCTGCACTATATAATAACCTTGAAACATGAGGCTAAAACTATGAATACTTAAGTAGCCTAAACACGGAAGACTCGTCATATACAAAACAACTTATGAACATACAAATCAGTACATGACACGAGTAATCAGAAAAATACTGCTTGCCTTGTCAAGAAACCAGACTTGAACATTTGACTAGAAACATGTAACGTACTTAAACATCCAAAATATATGAAGGAGATGTTATGTCAAAAAAGCACATTTCTAAATTACAGTAATTTCTAAAACATTAACACACTTAGCTACGTTGGTTTTTCTCTGATCAATCCCAATTGAGGTGTTAGCTGGCTAGGAGGCAGCGAAGCGCTCCTCCTGCCAACATTCTCACATTAAACTTCAGCTACCAACTCAAAACAGCTTAGTGGAATGCATTAACTGTCTATGAAGAATTGACAACTCGTGGAAATTATAAACTAGTCTGCCCTTAATATCTATGGTCCAGGTACCGAAGAAATTGTTAGTAGTAGCTTAGTTCTAAAGAAGTCTCATTATAATAGGGTGTTCAAATGGAGGAAATAAATTAGGTTCCTGAACTGATATTAAACTGAAGAAGGTCTCTAAGGGTGATCGTAGATTTGAGGTTTTCGGGCTTCCATGCCTGACAGTACCCTTAAGTCTTTCCCTTTAATGTACGATCTCTCAATCAATAATATATTTCATGTCCCACGAAAGATAGTATGCACGAGTCCCTCTTTTAATAGTAAACTGAAGGTCCCTCAGCTGATATTATGCTTATGGCCTCTGTTGATTGTGCAATTAGTCTGAATTGATACTGTTATTGCATCTTTCAGTCTTTTACATTTACAAAACTGAACCACAAATGGCAACCAATGTAGAGCTCTTCGTAAATGCGGTCTGCTTCATAAAATGTTACATGAAGAATCCCACAGATAATATTCAACTCACAGTCCATCTGCTGGCACTATTATACTTGTGACCTCGCCGAAGGGTATCCCAGATAATGTGCATTATACTCGGAACCTCCAGCTGAGGGCCGTACATCAAGGTTTAAATGAAGTGAACAGAATCAGATGCCAACCGACAGTTTTAGTTAGTATTTCAGTTGTGAGCTTTGCAAATGTCCCTCAGTTGACAACACTAGTTGGGCAACAGATGTTGGCACCTGATTAAGGGCCACACTCCTGCAATGCTGAATGTCAGGACCGGTAATTATGCCCTGGTAGACAAAATGTAAGTTAGTATCACAAGTGACACATCAAAGTTGAGATTTATAAGGTTATAGCTGGAGTTGAACTTTACAGCTTTCCAATGGGTGACCCATTTCGTTGGTCAACAAATGATAGACCGAGACTTAGGCTCTATTTGACAGTGGTTTAGCTAAAACCACAACTAACAGTGCTAAAGTTAGGACCAAACTTGACAGTAGTTAAGTAGAGATCTTGCTTGACAGCATTTGAATTGGAGCCCCCTACTGGCAGACAGCAGAAGGGAAGTGTTCTATATACTGTAATAGCAATAAAGTCCAGGTCTTAACTGGTAGCGATCCTGTTTGTTAACACTAAATGAAGCCTTAAGTGACAACAGAAGACTAGTAGGGCTGAATTGACAGTACCATATAGAAATCAGAGCGCCAACTAAGAGTAAATACTAGGAATAGTAATTGGCAACACTGCAGTGAACTGAGGGGGCCCTACCTGACACAACCAGTATCTGTTCCTCAACTGACAGGACCTCCGTGGTGAGGGTTGAGGTAAGCCACTAACTGAGAGACCACCAGCAGGCAAGGTGGTTTTCTGGCCATCGTTTGTGTGTATGCACTGGTTGGTTTGCATTATCATCATTCAGGGACTTGATTTTAAAATATGTACAAAACTCTGCACGCAAAGAGAGAGAGGGGAGAAAAATAGGCTAGGTTAAATAATTCTGGTGCGGGGAAACAAAATGTTGAGTCACCGCTGAAAAACAAAAAAAGAAAGAAAAGTTTCTTATCGCATTTATTATTATTTTTTTTACCCTTTTTCTATGTAATGAAGTTAAAAAGTTTGGCTGATGAACAGACCTTAGGTGGGGTGCTTCACTCAGGTCTTTTTGTTGCCAAGATAAAATTAATTTGCTTCCCATTAGGAAGCAGCCTACTGTTAAAAACTAACTTAACCCTAGTTGGCACGTTGTTGCTCATCTCATATATATCTAACTGGCACGCTCTTGATGCCCGATATGTATATTTGGCACGTTATTCCCTGTCCCTTATGTTTGATACTTCCCGCCATGCCTGTCTGCAGGCTAGGGGAGGCGTGCAGGCCTTAACGCTAGTCGTGGGTGCGGGAGTACGCAGCCAGCTTGGCATGGATGTTGGTGAAGGAGGGGCGGTGGGAGGGGTAAGGGCGCCAGCAGGCACTCATCACCTCCTGCACCTCCCGGGGGCACCACGCCGGCGGGCTCAATACAACCTGCAGCACCAACAATTTTGGAGATAATGAAGGGCATAAAAATATGTTGTGAAGCATAAATACTTCTAATACAGTACACAAATTCTTAATTAATTTTCAATAAAAAATCTATCAATAAATAAAGAAATGATTAAATAAATAAATATAGTTTTTTGATTCATCATTTGTACATCACGAAGCAAAACAATAATCTGCCCAATGTAGAATAAACCTCAAAGTAAGAGCATGATGCCTGCACATGGTGACTCACCTGCGGAGTAGCGTAAGTATCGTTGGCTGGTGTGGGTGGGTGTGCGTGGGCGTGCGTGGAAAGGATGGCGTGGAAGAGGAGGTCGTCAGACAGATGGTGGTGAGGTCGACGGCGTGCCAAGGTAAGGATCTCCCACAGTGTCACCCCAAACGACCACACGTCACTGGCTGAACTAAAGGTGCTCTGGGGGAGTAGATGGAGGTGAGTATTACCTGTAGCACACATTGTTCATGGTAAGGATTATGTTTGGGGATCTTGTTCCCCTAACTGGTACAAACTAATCAGATCTAGTTAGTTTAAGTGAACCAGTTAGATCTGCTCTTTTATCTACAGTTACAAGGAAAATTCAGCATACAAACATTTTAATTACGTAAAACATGGATTTATCAAAACACCCTGAAAAATACATTCTTCTAGTTGCATTTCTAGTTCTTTCTTTCTTTCTTACACAACCTCTCTCTCTCTCTCTCTCTCTCTCTCTCTCTCTCTCTCTCTCAATTTTCCTCCTATTGACTCTGTCTGTTGATCTCTTTCACAATTCTAATTCATTTGTGTCTGTCTGAGAGATGATGATGATAATCTTTCAAAACACTGCCAGGTGCCCCACGGTGTTGTGACCAGCTGGCTGCCAACTTAGGTAATTAGTCTACTTCTAACATGACTCACTGCCTCCAGCACATCGAGTCCAGTCTTAAATACAAGTGCTACTCCAAACTTGATGAAGGAGGACCAACTTGATGAATCATGATAGAAGGATACTTTTAGCTGGGGTTATCTTTTGTTCTGCCTTAGTTATCGTTTGTATACCTGGCAGAAAAGCCTTTCCACTAGGAGGCCTTCGTCCTTCCCACCAACCAGACACAGCCCCTCACTCCTCCCATTAACTAGGCAAACAGTCCCTCACTCCTCCCATTAACTAGGCAGACAGTCCCTCACCCCTCCCATTAACTAAACACAGTCCCTCACTCCTTCCATAACCAGGCAGATAGCCTCTCACCTGACAGAGTGCCTCTGGGCTGCACCATCGTAGCGGTGCAGGACCCCGACCATCAGGAGGCCGCCAGTAGTCGCTGGAGTAGCGTGGTAGAGCAGAGCCCACCTGCGTCACCTTCACGCTGCTGCCCACCACTACCACGTTCCTGCTCAGACACAAAGAACAAGTTTATAAGGTCAGGTCAAAACCTTTCCATACATAATAACGTCACACTATATGTAAAAGTTGATTTGGGAAAGGTTAAAATGTTCATTATAACTGCCGTCTTGTAGTTTCAACTACAACCACCATAACAACCCACTCACCACCACAACGTCACCTAACAACTTTGCCTGCTACATACAGGTCCAAGAGGTATGTACACACACGGTGAGAGTAATTTACAGGTAAGGTGGTGTACCTGGCGAGTGTGGGAAGGAGATATTGGCCGAATATGGAGTGTGTCTTAACAGGGTCATAAACAGAGCTGTGGTGAGTGAGGGATGGTGGGGTCATGTGGATGTTCCTCGTGACGTTACATGAAACATCACAACTTTTAAATGATTTTTTTTAACTGCTACTTTTTATGTACTGAATGTAAATTCTTTTTAAACCTATTGTTTTAGTGTAATATCAACTTGGTTTATATAATTTAGGTTTTAGTAAGTCGAGTGTTTTTAATGTAAATGTTATTAATGTTATATGATTTTGATATAAAGATATTTCTATGGTGATGATTTAAATAGAATAAATTCTAATTCAAATACTTTCAATTGTGTAATACTGTTTTTGATATCCAGGATGTTCTTCTAATGTAACAACACCTGTTTTTAATATTGTTTTTATGTAATATATTTTCTAATACTCAACTTAATGTAATTCACATATTTATTAACATTGCTTCCTTGTAGGTCATTACAGGTAGTGGGGTGATAGTACTATACAGGTAGGTCATTACAGGTAGTGTGGTTATGGTACTATAGGTCATTACAGGTAGTGGGGTGATGGTACTATACAGGTAGGTCATTACAGGTAGTGGGGTGTTGGTACTATATGTCATTACAGGTAGTGGGGTGATGGTACTATACAGGTAGGTCATTACAGGTAGTGGGGTGTTGGTACTATAGGTCATTACAGGTAGTGGGGTGATGGTACTATAGGTCATTACAGGTAGTGGGGTGATGGTACTATACAGGTAGGTCATTACAGGTAGTGGGGTGTTGGTACTATATGTCATTACAGGTAGTGGGGTGATGGTACTATACAGGTAGGTCATTACAGGTAGTGTGGTTATGGTACTATAGGTCATTACAGGTAGTGGGGTGATGGTACTATAGGTTATTACAGGTAGACAGGTACGAGGGTCGGGGTCCTCTCGCCAGCTACACAACAATGCCTCTCTCTCTGGCTTCCCGGACGCCCATCAGAATTAATCAACAAAGGTTCAAATCACCGGCCAGAGCTGAGTGTCGGCATAGTAATGAAACCCAAGATGCAAATGCCCTTCCTTGACTCACGGTTACCAGGGAGAGGCATTACCAGGGGGGGGGACATATGGTCAGAAACTATCTGAATTTGTCTGTCTATTACCTCTATAGGAGTTTCTGGTACAGCACTGTATTGCCTCAGCGGGGGTTAATTTATAATGTGTTGAGGGAGGAAAATTAGGACTGTGTGGGGGAGGGAGACTCTCACTGTAGGCCCTACCTGCCATCATCCACTACAACCTCCTCGTCTTCCACTTACGTCTCTCATTCTTCGCCCCTGACGCCCACCCCAGCTTCCTCCTCAACTCACATAGGCTGCCGGTCACCCTCCTCACCCCCACCATCGGAACACACCATCCAGGATAAAATAACTCGAGTTCTGAGATAAATGCACAAGTTCAGATCATACAACAGAAAAAAAAAATGAAAGATGGTTTTAGTCAACTTTTGTTTCCCTAAGATACAAAACAATAATAAATCACAAAGAAAATGTATTATATCCATCAGGCAGTACAGTCATGCCTTATCGATAAATTCCAGGGTTTCGTTCCGTCTTCCCGGTAAGTCGGAACACAATTACCTCGGTGATTCATTGTTCTCATAACCATAATTTATGTGTTGCTTGGGATCACCTGAAGATTAAGCACCCAGGTTATTTTACCAAACGCTAACCTAATCACCCTAACGCTAACCTAAGACTACCTTAACCTAACACTAACATAACCAAATCTGATAATTTTTGCCGTGGTTTCCCTCACCAACTTCAGACCCCCCCAACCCCTACACACACAACACACACCCACCACTTATCTAACGCGGTACTAATTTCACCAGACAGCGACCAGGTGTGTGTAAATACCTGCGCGGAGGGGGAGGAAGGGGCAGGGGAGTACAGGAGCTTGCCACCCTGTCATTACACCTGTTAACCAATATTTACACGGATAAATTTGTGTGGCAGGGATCGCCAGGTAAGTACTGTGCCTCTGCTGTCACTCAACACTTTATTGCACTAAATATACACCTGTGTTAATAGCCACACTTAGCACATTCCATTAAATAATCAGTACCATAAACCCGGTTTGAATAACGTCATGTGGTCGGTAGGTTAATTACACCGAGTCTTGAGTAGCGTGTGTGTGTATTGTCTAATTATATGTATTTGTAATATTTCTGAATATATATATATATATATATATATATATATATATATATATATATATATATATATATATATATATATATATATTTATTTATTTATTTATTTATTTGAAGATTATACAACTCGGATAATACAACTGTGTGGATGATCAGGTGTATCTCTGTGTGATCAGGTAACTGAGTGTTATCAGAACAGCAGCCCAGTAGTTACGTCGTGGCCTGGTTGAGGTGTCGCCTATCCGTCTCTTTACTCAGTCTGTTCTGCTGTGTCTCAAGGGCCACTAAAATCCGCATAGAACTGAGCTTAACTAACTGAGCTAAGGTAGATACTTTTGTATTTGGATAGTTGGGTAATAAAATGTGTGGATAGCTACTTATGTATTAGGATATTTAATATTAAGGTAATTAAATGGTGGCGAAGGTGTGGCTATTGGGGGAGGCTGGAGGCCACGTTTAAAAAAAAAAGTAGTAGTATAAGTGTTAGTAGTAGTGGTATAAGTGGTAGTAGTAGTTGTATAAGTGTCTAGTATAAGTGTTAGTAGTAGCAGTAGTACAAGTGTGAGTAGTAGTTGTATAAGTGTCTAGTATAAGTGTTAGTAGTAGTAGTAGTATCGCTTACAACTGTAATTGAACACCCAGCTTGACAAATCACCTAGATTGCTGGGAGGGAAGGAAGGAAAAGAGGGAGAGGAGGGAGGGTGAGGGAGAGGAGGGAGGGTAATGGAGAGGAGGGAGGGTAATGGAGAGGGAGAGGGGGAACGGGAGGGGTAGAGTTTATTATAACCCTTGTGGTTCCCTTACCTCTTTACCCCCCCCCCCTAACGTTATCTCTCACTAGTGTGTATATCTTTCGTCTTGAAAGTTACCTTAGCGGACACTATCACGCACATCCGTAGTGAGGGGATGCTGTAACTCACACGTCTCTCTCTCTCTCTCTCTCTCTCATCATACCCACACTATATCTAGTTGAGTGACATCCCCTACCATCATCACTAACATCACCACCACTACTAACAGTATCACCACCACCAGGAGACCAGGTGTAGAACAAGGTAATAACGCCCCAAGGGTTTTAATTAGCAAGTTAAACAACTGCAAATAAATGGAAAAATCATCCAGCTTCCACAATTGCTCAATGATCCGCCTCTAGTTGGAAGATTAGTATAACGGCTACAAATCACCAGCGTTACCATCGATTACCGAAGTAGAGGGGCGCGCGCGCGTGCACACACACACACAATGATAATTCCCCTGAGACTCCACGATAGAGAGGCCTGGGACCACACCTCACCCACTTGAGTGAGTGAATTCCTGTGACAACGGACCACGTGGTGTCCCCATTATGCACGACACCGCATAGTGAATGAGTTGCTACAGCATTATGTGAAGTTCCTCATAACACCTGCGAGGGAATTACTACACCACGTGATGCCCCTTATAACACCATCTGTGAGGGAATTACTACACCACATCAGGCCCCTCATACACCATCTGTGAGGGAATTACTACACATCAGGCCCCTCATACACCATCTGTGAGGGAATTACTACACCACATCAGGCCCCTCATAACACCATCTGTGAGGGAATTACTACACCACATCAGGCCCCTCATAACACCATCTGTGAGGGAAGTACTACACATCAGACCCCTCATAACACCATCTGTGAGGGAATTACTACACCACATCATGCCCCTCATAACACCATCTGTGAGGGAATTACTACACCACGTCAAGTCCCTCATAACACCATCTGTGAGGGAACGACCCCTCATAACACCATCTGTGAGGGAGTTACTATACTACGTGTCTGCTGTTCAACACCTCAGCTCACATGATCTACGTGTGTAAACATTAATCTGTATGTTCACTGTATGTTCCTTCACCTTTCTCTAATGAAGGCTTTTGTTAAACCACCAATGTATGTAATAAGTCATTTATGTCCAATGTATATTTTCAGCCTTCGGGCTGCAGAACTTTTTCAATAAACCGTTTATTATTATTATTATTATTAATATGCGCACCCACAGACAGACAAACACTATGTCTATACCAGGAATGAAAAGCCGAAAAGAGAAATAGTCAACTGCATCTGGTAAGCAATTCGCCTCCTAGTTTTAACATACCCAGCTACGCCTTCCTACCCCCTAACACCACTACCAAGACCTGGGAACAGGAGCAGCACCTGACGCATAGTTCACGATCAACACACGTAATGTAAGGTCACTGAAAGCGAGACTCATCCCAATCAGATTTTTTATAACCAATTTTTTTTTACCATGAAATTTGACCATTGGGCCTTGACCTTCGACTTTAATTTAGTGTCAAGATCAATCATTGAATGACCTTTGACTTCTAAACTGTACGAGGTTAAGTTAGGATAAAAATTGGGGAAGGTTGGTAGTCTTGTATCCAGGAAAAAATAATTGAGTGTTCTTTTGATATTTTATAAAAAATACGAGCGTGGCGAGGCGGAAGAGACTGACGCAGGGTCTGGGGTGGTGTGGAGGTGTGGGGTGG